TGCACACATCTGAATATTTGGTTTGAACTGTTCTGGAACAGTGTTGTAAATACAACTTAACCACTGATTTCTAGTCGTGTCCTCTTTTGGAAGGCCAAACATTAGAAAGTATTTTCGCTTTCGCAACGAAACACACTTCACAACATGGTGGCGGCGGTGGCAGCAACAATAAAGTTACGCCTTCATTCTTTGCGTGAACATTTGGGCGGCGTTATGCAAATCTTCCCACATCGTGACGTAGACATGTGGGGGCGTGTTTAAACGAGGCGTTTTAGGAGGGCGTGGACCAGTCTTAACTTTTATAAAGAATATCTCTTTGGGTTTGAGACTTTAGTCTTTGCAACTTTAGGGATCTTATCTATTTACGAACAGCTTGTAACACTCCAAAGAGAAAGGAAAACTTGAATTCGCATGATATGACCCCTTTAATGAAATAATCACCTGTGTAATTTATTATATTAACAATAAACTTGTTTCACAAAGTTTGAGAGCCAGACAGTTACAAGAACTTACAACTAGGGATTGAGTAGCTAAAGCTTCCTCTGCGTCTGGCAAATGGCTGCTTGGATTCAGCATCCAGGTCTGCAACTGCTACCTCCAGCATCCTCTCTATGAGTTCATCCTCATGTTTTTTCCATGTCTCTTCCGTCAGTGTCTTTGACCTTGCATATTTTTGGGATGTTGAATCTCTCCTCTTCTTTTCTAGAGTGAAGTATTCCCCTCTGTTTCTTGCTACTGTGTCTTCAATCATCTCAAATAATTTAGTGGCTTGAGATTTATTACCCAAGTCATTCACTAGTACATGATATCTGTTTTCACACCTTTCTACCAGGCTCTGAAGGGCTTTTCCTTCATACACAATGTACTCCTCAATTGGTCTGTCCTTTAGCCAGTGCCCCTCAGTGAATAAAATTAGAGTATGTCTCCAGACTCGCGCTCCAAAAAGGCCCATGAGCTCCATCACTGTTTGTTGAGTTTTCTCTGTAAAAGCCTCATCTACAGGCAGCACTAGCAGGAATACATGTGGACCTGGTGAGCAAACTTTCACACTGTTTAAAATGTCTTTTCTTGCATTTCGAGTTGATGTTGACCAGCCTGGAGTGTCAACCACAGAGATTTGACATCCTCCAACTTTACTCTGTCGCATTACACATTGACTTATTCTCATGATTTTAAAGTCCTACATAGAAAAACAACATTACAATTAAAATTAGCTCTTATAATAGAACCAAAAAAATTATAAATAAAGATAACACTTTATCATTGAACGAAGTACCTTTCCCAGCCTATTCTCAAAAAATTGTCCTTGCAGAATGATATTTCCTGATGTACCTTTCCCAACTCCTTCAACTCCAAGAAGCACAATCCTCAGTTCTGAAAAATGTTTTTTCCTTTCTAGTGTTTAGAAAGAAGTGATTAGCATGCATATTATCCTCAGATAATTGTCATACTAAATAAACAATGTGTGTCTTTTATGCAATTTCATAGATGCAAGATGGAAAATAAAGTTGTGCACTTACCCTTAAGCAACTCCTGCAGGATAGCCCTTTCCCTTCTCACCTTTTTCATGTTTGTTCTAGTTGTTTTCAGCATCAGGTCAATTTCCAGACACGGATTGCTTTCCATCTCTGGTACATAGTGAGAGTTGTTGTTTTCCATCATAATTTCCTCAATTTTCTCCAAAAGTTCTGTGACTTGTGTGCGGTCAGTGTGATTCTTACAGTTAAAAACATGGTATCTGTTCCCACACTTTTCAGTCAGAAGCTCAAGATGTTTGTCTTCTTTTTCAATACGTTCTTCAATAGTTGTGTCCCCAAGACAGTCTCCCCACGTGAACAGCACAATTGTATGATTCCAGACCTTTTCCCCTAAAAGACTCATATGTTCCTCAACAGCTGTGTGTACTGTCCTGTCATAAGATATAGCAATGGGAATAGTTAACAGGATGGCATTTGGACCAGGTGCACATAGATGCACACTGCGTCTGATCTCCAGTTTGTCCATCTCTGGTGTCTTTTCAACAGGATAGTTGTAGTACCAGCCTGGAGTGTCGACCACTGTCAGCAGTTTTTCATCCAATGCTGCATTTTTAACATTACAACACACTGTTGTCCTTGGTCCACCAACTTCAAAACTTTCTTTTCCAAGAATGAGGTTGCCTGCAGAGCTCCTTGAAGCCCATGATGCTCCAAGCATCACAATTTGTATTTGAGTTAGATCTTGTAGATCATCTACACAGGAGAAAGTACTGATTACATGGCAGTAAATGTGATTGAATCAACAGTGATTAGACTTTACAGTATTCTGTAAAATAATTCATTTTAAGTCAATTAAACATTTGCCATGTAGTAATATTTACTGACTGTTAAAATACAGTAAGGCATATATGTAATAGCTTTTTACCTCTAATGCGTGCTTGGAATTCAGCTCTTCGTGTTTCCATAGCAAGAATTCTCTTGTTGGCACTTTTAGTTGTTGTGTCCTCTCTCTCATCCAGTGCAAAGGCACTTTTGTCCATTGTTAAGTATTGACCATTGTTTTGAGCTATCATTTTCTCAATTTTTTCCAGCAGTGTGATCACTTGAGAGCTGTCTTTGCTGTTGTTAATATTAAGAGTGTGATATCTGTTCTGACACTTCTGTAGAAGCTACTGGAGGTCTGGCCATTTTCTAAGACTATTTTTTAAGGTGTTGTCATCATATGGAGCAATAGAGGTGAATAACACAATGATGTGACTCCAGACTGTCTCAGACAAAAACTCGTAAGTGTTTCTCCAAAGCCATTCTTTTCATTTGTACAAATCTTATATCTTTGGGAATGACCAGAAGAAAGGCATGAAGTCCAGGTTG